TTTTTGTAGATTGGGTGTGGTGGCGTGTACCTGTAATCAATCCCAGCACTTGGGAGGCTGTAAACAGGTGGATCACAAGAGTCCGATCTAGTAGTGAGACCCTGAACACGCTGTAGACCCTTCCCCTCCCTCCCCCCAAAAAATTACTCTTGTGCTGTGCAGTTAACCTTGTGTAGAAGAAATGTAGCTGCCAGTCACAAGCTCTGCTTCCCGCAGGCTCAGGCCCAGACAAAAGCCCTAAAGCTCTCCACTCTAGACTTCTCCAAGATGAGGTATTTCCAGTGATCCCCAAGCCAGAAGCCCTCAGAAGAGCAAGCCACACGCAGGTCTGCGCTTTGCATGGGCGGGCTGTGCGGGAACTTGCACGCAGGCTCTGGGCTGACCCGCGGCTCCTCGCCTGTCTCTCGACAACCCACAGGTCTCTGTCCGTACCCCTGAACCTCACAGATATTCTGACTCCCAGGTCCACTCTTTCCCCGAGGCCCTCATCACACCTCATCCTCTTTCCTCTCAGGCCTTCGGGGCTTCCAACTCATAAGCCAAAACCAAGAGAGAAAAATCACTGCAAGAAAGCAGCATCTACCTGAAGGCCATGTAGTCCCCAAGGGACAGACGCTGCCCTTCCATTGGCCACTCAGCAGCTAGCGAGCTGTCTCCTCTGCCCTGCGGGGAACATACCCTCATGCCCAGGCTGGTGCTCTGCCTTCCCTCAGCTGCCACCATAGTAAGGGGCTGTGCAAGAGCTGCCCAAAGCCAGCAACTGGGGAGATGGCGATGGAGAGGGACTGACCAACGTGTCCAGGTCACCTTTGGGGGTGGTGGAAAGTCCTGCACCTAGACAACAGGGATGGTCACTTAGCGCTGTGAATGCACTACTGCCCTTAAGTGACACACTTTAAAACAGGAAACCACAGGTTATCTGTTTTGCCACAATTTAAAAAATAAAAGATACCCACTGATACCGTGGTGGGGCCTCACATACATTACCCTTTCTAGCTTGGTGGCCGCTGGAATTCGAGGCAGTGGTGTTCGGCCAGTTCTCGGCTGGCTGTTCTCCAAGCCCACCTAAACACGTGGAGACAAAAGAAAAGGAAGAACACGTCAGCCCGGTGTGCCTCGGCGGCGTCAAGGGTGAGGAAGCGAGCCGCTCATCCGTGATTGCTCAGCACACAGAGCTCATCCGCAGCACCCATACCCCATGCTGGGGCCAGAAGGAGCCTGCCACACGGCTCCTTCACAGATTAGCAAAGTACCATTGTGATCAGCTCGACAGCACTCAGAATTGAGATAACCAAGTTAACCTGCGAACCCAAAGGCACTTCCTCACCTCGCCTCCTGAGAAAGATTCAATTTGTAGCCGACACTTGTAGCCGGCACTCCCAGGCCTGGCGTTCACAAGGTAGGAGGCGGTACTGCTGTCGGATGGGACAGGCTGGCTGTGTGCTCCTGTATTCAGGGCATTCTCTCGGCACCCTGGGTTCCCCTTGGGGACAGTCTCCCTTCAGAAACTCCTGTTGACCTCAGACATGTATTTGACCGCAGATCCTCCATATATCAGCCTTCGCATGACGCAGCTAGGCTGTGTTCACGGCTCTGAACACCACACTGTCATTCGCCTCCACCACGAAGACATCGGTTCCTAAGTATTTATTAGTCCTGCTGCCTGCCAACGACAGCGCCAGGTACCACGAGTCCAGCTGTGAACAAGACAGTGAGGATCTTGTCCTCAAGAGGTGTACTTTGCAAATGAGGAACTGGACAACAAACAGGGGCGAAAACCATGAATAAGGTAATGTTTTTTTTTTCCAGAACCAGGGATTGAACTCAGACCCTTGAGCTTGCCATCTCCCCGGCCCCGATGAATAAGGTTATTGAAGGCTCCGAAAGTGCTCTCAAGACCAAATCCAGTGCAGAAAGGGATTGGAAGGGCGGCGGTGTGGGACCTGGAGAAGGCACCCTCGCAGGTGTGCAGGGGTTGAAATAAACAAGCATGGCATATCCATGTGGAATCTGGGCCGCAGCATCCCCAGCAGGAGAAGGAAGCGGGGAGAATGCCGGTGCAGACTGCGCTCGCCTTGTGAGGGGGCGAAGCCAGAGAAGGAGGCTGGAAGCACAGGCCCCGAGGGCTGTGCTCTGCTACGAGCTCTCTGACTTGTATGCTCCTTGTCACAGAGACTGCTGAGATTTTGTGTTTACCCAAGATCACTCTGGGGGAGAGGAGGCAAGGCGGAAGGCCAGTGCTCAGCTCGGATCCTGTTGAGAGACGGTGGGCTGCGAACTAGACACTACGGGAGAGATGCCTGTCACCTGTCACCTGGGGACATAGCTGGAGGCAGGGCTAACCGGAAGGGTTGGTGGATGAGATATGTGGGGTGCGAAGGGCTCCTAATGACGGGTGGGTAGGGACCCAGAAGATCTGAATCCAAGAGAGACAACTGCATACGAGAAACCACATGAAAGTCTCCAGAGGACAATTTATTTACAAAGAAGGAAGTTCATGCCTTTGTTTAGAGACTTGCAGCTTGCAATGCAGTTTCCCCTTATCTTCTTTAGGTGCAGTAGATGGAGTGTCACCCTACTTTTCAGAGTCTCAATGTACAAGACTCAGATGCAAGATGGTCAGCCTGGGGTTGCTTGGCCCCTGGCGGGAGCCGAGAACTCAGAACACAGATTCCTGGTCAGAAACCTCACAATGCTTCCTGTGCCACAGCTACAGGGCTTTTGGTGCTGCCCAACGAAGGCTCACACCCAGCACCACGCACCCATCGAAGCAGCCCTCCTGGCCTCCAGGACACCACGGGAGGCAGCCATGTGGTGTCCCCCACAGCAACTCCTGACAGCCGGCTGCCTCTTTCCCTCCCGTAACTTTGGCTTCAGCAGGAGCTGCAGCTGCTGGGCCTCCCGGAGAAGAAGGACCCGCTAACGTCAGGCGGGGACAGGAGGCTCTGCGCTGCATCCTGCTCATTCTATGGCCTTTCTGGCCAACTCGGAATCCACTCACACACTCCCTGCAGCTGCCGGAGCCTCGGCTGCCAGCCCCGGGCCCTGGGGTATTCTTCCAGTTGCCATATCATTTCCTCTCGGGCTAAAGGTCAGGGGAAGTCCTGATGGTATGAACTCACTCTGCGGCAGAGGAATGTGCCATCTGCGACAGGGAGCAAAGCGCAGAGAGCCCCAAGCCCCGCGTGGCCCGCGCCTGGCAGGGGAGCCGGAGCCCAGAACGTGGGCATTAGCATCTTTCATCTGTCAAATGGGCTGTCACAAGGACCAAATGAGGTAATAGGTTTGTTTAAGCATTTGTTCATTCGACAAATATTTATCTAACACCTGCTACGTGCCAGACATTGTTTCTGCTGCTCAGGAGACAGCACTGAAGAAACTCTATCCTGACCTCATGGAAATTACATTCTGATGGAGGGGAGGGGAAATATGGTTTAAAAGAATAGGCAACTAAATATTTAAGTTGATATGAAGAAAATATATGAGGACGGCTACGCATAAGCTACTGGTGGTCTTCTCTCCCCCTACATCTAATCTACCAGCCCTTCCAGTTAGTTCTTTTCTTCACAGTAGGAAGAAGAGCAGAGGTCTGAAGAAAATGAGGGAGAAAGTCAGTGGATTGCCAAGAGACAAGCAGGAGCAAAGGCCGCGGGGCGGAAGCATGCTGGGCCCTCGGGATGGGTATGGCTAGAATGGAATAAGCCAGACAGAAAGCAGCAGGCCATGAGGCCTGAAGGAAGAGACGTGTCTGCAGGGCCAGCTCGTGGGGAGCCCCATATGTCATTTTCAGGACTTTGGCTCTTATGCTGAGGTTTTTGTTGGTGGTGATGGTGGTGGTTTTGGTACTGGGAACTGAACTCAGGACCTTGCACTTGGAAGACAGGAGCTTGTGCCGCTGAGCTATATCCTTAGTGCACTCTGAGTAACTTAGATAGGTGCGAGAAGACATGAAAGGACATTGTGACTGTACTGAGTTTGCATGTAACAAGCGTTATTAACAGCGAACTAAGAAGGCGCCCAGGGGCTGAGATTTGAAATAAGAGTCCAGTCTCATTACACAGCAATGGAAGCCCAGGATTTATGGTTGGCAGCTTTCGACTGCGTGATTCAAAGAAGACTGTGAGGGAAAAGGAGCAGGGAGCACATAGGCTGTGTCCAGGCGGGCCTGAGTCAGTGTGAGCTAGAGGCTGCGACGGAGGGAGCTGGGCTGGAGGGACTGATGGACGGTTCCTCAGCAGGCAGGCAGGGAGAGGAGGGCTTCTGGTCCCCTGGGATCTCTGGTTCTTAGGGTTAGAATAGCTGCAAAAGTGCTGAGTCGGGATACCAGGTGCCTGGGTGGTGGGAGAAAACACGGCCCCAGGAGAGGAGATTAGCCTGTCCTGCGGGTACAGGGATGGTTCCTGGTAGGAAGGGCTGGGGTGGGTGCTGTTTGACCTCAAACCTATATCCTTCTCCTCAGCTTCAGACCCAGACATGAGAGCAAGAATAAGCGGGGTTCCTCACTGGGAGCCAGGGGCCAAAGGCCTTGCCTAGGAAGTCATGAAAGGACACTGGAAGTCAGGGCTTCTGTCTTCCTCATCAAGAGATGAAGGCTCCATCCTTTTGGATAGGTTCAGGCCTTAGTATGAATTGCTAAAATCATTATCTTGGTCATCTAATACGGCTGATGCCTATAGAACAAAAGACCACCTCCCCTCTTCTTCCCCGACTCAGCCCAGGACATAATTTACTTTCACCCATCTCGCTGCCTCAGGGAAGACCCCCAATCAGTTTCTCAGGTATATCTAAACACCCCCTTCGAACCTCTCCCCAGGCAAAAGGTCATTAAAGCCTCAGCCTCCCTTTGTCCAGCCCAAAAAAATTCCTTGACCTCTCCAAATTCTGTCAGTGTCCTCAAAGAAAATAAAGCGCCTTTCCCTTTTTTCTTCCTTCTGTTTCTCTGCTGCGCTGGTCACCTGAAGAGCACCTGTCAGCAGAGGAGCAGGCCTTACGCTGCCAGCACACCCAGTGACCCTCTACCTGCAGGCAATGGGCTTCATCCTGCTGCGCCCCCCTCTCCCATCCAAGTTCGGCCACACTAAGCCCAGTGCCCGAGCGGCTTTCTGTTCACCTTCTCTGATGCACCTTCCTCGGCTACACCCACCTCTTCCTCTGGCAGATTCCTCCTTGCCCTTCTGATACTCTTTCATGCCTCTTGCTCTGGAAGTTGCTGGGTGCTAGAAGGCCTTCTCCTCTGTATCCCTGTACCCCTGTTTATTCATACCTCTCACCAGAGGGTGCCCCTCCTCTGCATCAGCAAAATCCCCATGAACTAGTTTTTAGTTTTTAGCATCTTAAAGGGAGAGGTTTTCTTTGGACCAGCCATGAATCCCAGGCACCAGACCGGGCACCTACCAGCTACTCAATAACACATATGACAGATGGATGGACCAAAAGTCAGGCCAATGCTGTTTAAAAAGAGAACTCAATCATTTCTAGCCTCAGCTTCACAGCTGGAAAATTTGTCTTTATCAGCTTTTATGGAGAGATGGAGGCAGCTGTTCTTGGAACAATGTCTTTCAACCTTGACTACAATTTTTAATGATCTGAGAAGAGTCTGAAAATATACTGAGGTTTGAGCCCCCTTAGAAACCCGGATTTAACCAGTATGGGGCATGGCCTGAACACGGGGCCTTTTAAAGCCTCCCGGGTGATCTGGAGGTGCAGTCAAGGCCCAGACTGGCCACTCAGAAAAGGCCTGTTTTCACGCTATTTTCTTAATTCTCTCTCTTCTGGAGTTCACCAGAATGACAAATGTGGCACAGGAGACAGACCCATCAGCCTCAGGAAAAACCATTTCTCACGTCTAAATTGGTACAATGTTCCTGTTTCTGTACAGGTGAGGCTCTGGCTGTGACTGCAGCCATGGGGCAAGGGTGACAAAAACAACCTGACGCACACAACTGCTGACAGCAAAGGGGGCGCATTCACATATGCAGATATATTTTTCCTGGAACACGATTGCAAGACAAAAAAATATTTTAGATATATAGTATCCCCATATCTAGTCTTTGCTTACTTACCTC